ACTTTCTCGTCCCCCCCCCCCCAAATAACCCCCTAGCTATGGCCGTGGGTACATTATATGAGAAATTATAGAAACTGGGACTTCAGGTTTGATCACTCGGACTTTATTATTAGGAATGGGATTATTTTATGAGTGTGAGAGTCTTTCAGAACTCAACTCTTCAGACCCTCGGACTTTTGTATCGTAAATGTATATTCATTTTAAGGTACTCAAAAAAGTCTTGCTTCTAAGTAAAGGGGTATCCGATAAATTGCAATCTGAAGACTTGGACGTTGTTACCGGCTGCGAGAGGGTCACAGATCTGCTCGCCTCAATCAGGGCTCTTCAGTGCGAACCAAAGTTTGAAGCTTTCTGGGAAAGTACTCTTCAAAAATGCCGCATACTAAGTATTGAAGAACCAAAAGATGAACGCTTACGTAAGATTCCTCGGAGAATTGACGACAATCCCGAAACCACCGTCCACCTGTCGCCAAAAGACAAGTTTAGAGTTTCTTTCTATTATAATGTAAGTCACTCGATTACCGGATTACGCATATGTATAATTATAGGGTTGCCCGCCTAAATATAGACTGTCTCTAATACAAAATAAAAAGTAAAAGTAGGTGTGCATTTAATACTATCAAACTCATTAATAATTCATGAGGAAAATTGAAAAGAAATACATGTTTAATCAGTGTCTGTATACGCTGATAAAGAACCGTCCTGATTTGCATAAACTTTTCTCGCAATTTTCTAAGTTTATAACATTTATTTTTTAAACATAATTTGAAAACATGATTGTCTGTTTGAGGTCGTTTGATAAGTAATTTACAAAATTTGTGTCCGTTCTGTATCAGTGTACACAGATACTCGTGCGAAGCACTCGTGTCTGTATACACTGATACGGAACGGCCACTTATTTTGTAAATAGTACTAAAAGTAGGTGTATTAAAGAATGTTTAGAATTATTTTCTATATTGTAGATACTAGATCTTATGAGCTCCTCAATTGAAAGCCGTTTCGACAAACATAATGCGCCAGTTCTAAAGGGACTTGGATACTTGGGTCCATCTCGTTTAGCCAGTCCAGAAGCTTGGGAAAACATATCTTTAGCAGTCCAGTGGTTCCAAAGTGACCTAGATGTTGATGCATTAGAGAGCGAAATCTTTTCTTTGCAGACATCATTGCTGCTCACCAATGTCAATAAAAAAGCGAAGTCCGAGAAGAGAAAGGCCAGTTTTGACGACCTATTCAAGGTGTTGCAAACGGAGCCAGAATGCTACGGAAACGTCATAAAGCTAATGAAAATAACTTTGACACTGCCACTTACCTCAACTAGTGCTGAAAGAGCATTTTCGAAGTTGAAACTGATCAAGTCCAGACTAAGGTCAACAATGAAGCAAGAAAGGCTAGAAAGTCTTATGCTGATGTCTGTGGAAGCCGACATATTGGAACAGCTTGATCTGGAAGAGCTTGTAGAAAAATTTGTAGATATGGCTCCAAGAAAAATGGATTTAGTTTAAAGTTAGATGGATTCAGTTTAAATTTAGATAGCATAGCAAATGTGTAATGATGACAATAGGTCTAAAATTTTATGAAGTTTTCAGTTGGTAATCAACATAATTATTAAATCGAAAGATTTTGTCAAGGGTATTGCGTCTTGTTCTAGAGTAATATAACCGAATTTTGTGATTTATGACCGTCCAATTACTTTAAAAACTCGTATCAGAATGCAGGAAATGGCGTTTCCGAGCCCTGGAAACCAAAATTTCCCCGGGGGAGCATGCCCCCGGACCCCCCTAGGGGTTTGCCCCCCCCCAAATATTCGACCCTGGCTACGCCACTGAATGAGATATCAGTAAATCATTAAGCATACTGTTTCTTTTAAACAAATCCATAAAAAATAGCAAAGGTACACAACAATTACTGATATCTCATTATATATGTAATTGAGTAAATGACGTCACATGGTTACAAACAAAATATCTCAAGAACTAAGTGTGGGAACAAAAATCTTCAAAACAAGTTATTGTACAGTTTTAAGAGCATTTTCGTTTAAGAAAATAAAAATTTTGATGACAGTGCCACTTTAAATTATATATAACTCTATATGACTGCACATGTCTTTTATGACCTTATTGGCTTATACCAAAGCAGGGGCGTTGTGGGTCGCATGTTTTAGGGGCAGGGCAGCATTTTCCGGACAAACACAATTTTTTCTGACATAAATAATTGGGGGGGGAGGGGGGTGAATAGGGGTATACAAATCTGCCGATCCGCCAAAATTTGAAACAAGATCTGCCGATCCGACAATGGTCTTCTCTAAATTTGGATCCACCAAGAGCTGTACTATGAAGCAGTGAACTCTATTTATAGACTGGAACGATAACTTGGCCGCCATCTTTGAAAACTCCCCCCAAAATTAAAGGCACCCCAGAGTTCACGAAACACCTCAATATGGAAATCACAGTGCAATCGTTAATCTGAAACACCCCCAAAATATTACAAACACCCCAAAAAGATTCGAAATACCCCAAAAGATTTGAAACACTGCAAAATTCTCGTTTAATTAATTCTTTGTAACCTCTCACTCAGGCTCTTGAGTTTTAATACATGATTCAACATTATTGCCAGGGTTGCTAATCTTGGGATCTTTGGATTTTTTAAAGTGAATGGGTATTTTTTGGGATTAATTTTTAAAAAATAAGACCTTGATATTTTTCTTTGGATTTTTCTAGTCAACAAGTAATAGAAAAAAGCTTCTTGGCAGAGAAATAGTTGTGAATTAGTTCATCTAATGCATGTTTTCATTAATAGTTTGATAATTTATTGGAGAAAAATATGAAATTTAGGTCTTTATCTTGAAAATATTGATTGGATCCAGATATTCATGAATGCATGTGATCCACTCAGGGCCATTACTAGGACTTTGCCTCTGTTTTGTTAACGGTTTAAGCATTCGAGTTAAGCCTGACATTTGGTAGATGTAAACAAGTGATGCGTGTATACTGGAAAAAATATTGATAAATAAGGAGGGAGAATGTAAAATTTCAGCAATTTTAATGTTCGTATGGAGGCGAGCTACCATTCTATAAGGGAAGTCTCACATATAGATTTTGTCCACGAGAAACGTCATATGTTCGTTTGGAGATGGGGGGTTTGCAGCTGTGATGTTTCTCTGCAAAACATCATGGAAAAATTCAATAGTTTTTTTGAAAGCCATAACATTTCGGAATCATCTTTACAGAATATAAAAAAGAAAACAACTTGATACAAATACCAGTCTATACATTCGTAGATTATTACGCCTTCCTTGTATTGAAAACACTCAAATTTCAAGAAAAATGTGCTAAAAATGTCCATATTTCAGGCAAAAAAAATTGTTTTGAGAAACATTGGAAATTTTGAAGTTCATATATTATTAAAAAAAACATATGTGAGCAGATGATATATTCCTTGCGGAAGCATCACCAATTGCCGACCGTGGAAAATAGAGTAAAATTACCTTATGTGTACTATAAGAACAAAATGTCGGTAACTATGTGTGACGTTTCTAAGGGGGGGATGGGGTGGAAGGGTCTCCAGAGAAACGTCCATATGACGTTTCTCATGGACAAAATTGATATGTGAAGCTTCCCTAAAGATATATCCCTTCTCCGAAGTAGGGGACTTGATCCAGTTATACCAGTATATTATTATAAATGGATAACAGTTACAAATATTTCCACTAATTACCAATGGCAACCAATAACAATCAACTACGGTACTATTTATGTACTATTTGGATATTCTCAGAATGATGAAGAATGAAATTCGGCTAGTAAAACCATTTTCTAACAAAACTATTTAGTAGTTACAATTCGTGGTTACAATGCTGACGACAATAGACTGCCGAATTTTGCCAATGTGGGAATCATAAAATATTCCTGTATAACCGTGCTCGATAATGGTGCTGGTGTTCTTCATTACATCTTCTAGAATAGAATAGAATAGAATTCTGTCCGATGCTGTTAAATTTGTTTCACAGTTAAGTTCCTGAAGTGATATATTTTGGTTAAGGTTACAGAACACCTTCGAGCGTTAATTTTGCCTAAAATTTTTTTATTGGTTTCCATGAAAGCATTAGACTAGTTCTACTATCTGACCAAGTTTGAACGGAAAATGTTGAAAACTCGCAGAGTTATTTAATAAAATACATTTCGCTGCAATAAGAAAAACATTGAAAATGTAATATTCAAATTCAATTTTCTCCCGAAAAATTTTACGGTAATTACTGATTTTCAAACGAGTTATGCTCCCGCGGGTTTTAACCAATTTTTCTCAAATTTTCACAGGGCATAGCTAAAGACGTCAGTTTCAAAATCGTGTTCGGCTTTTTTTTAATTTTGAATATTTTAAAAATAAAGAGCAATTTACTAAAACAATTCAGAAATATATTGCAGTCGTCAAAGAAATCGCCATATCAGCGGAATGACGAAATAAACAAAAATTTCCGAACACGATTTTTTAGAACAACTATTTTACTGTATAAAAATTATATTTTCATAAATATAACTTAAAACCAGCAGGAACATAACTCAAAAGCGTAACGGTACCGCGATTTAAGATTTTCCTGAATAATTCTTACATTATTTTATTGTTTGTTAATTTTACAACTTTACCATATTTTGCATGCACTGGAGAACATTTGGTGAAAATTTGATGAAAATCGGACTGATATTGAGCGCGCAGTAGCGATTTTCCGCAAAATGCCAAAAAAGGTGTCCTGTAACCTTAACCAACAAATCATACATGGTTACATCAAGACAGCAGGGTGCAGGTCCACCCTGGGTGAGGTTTGCAGCTATGATCTCTCCACAAGCCTTGAAGTTTTCATTTTGGATGTGAAATGACGAATCTACAGGTATTCCACCAGGAAACATACTAGAACCGATTTTAGAAAGAGTTAAAGTGAAGAACTCTTTTCCCATGGCACCAGAATCTATCCCTTGCTCACCACTGAATTTTACTCTCACCACATATCAAGATGATACAGGCTTTCTTTTTATTTCTCTGCTCCAGATTGAAAGAACTCTATTTAGTTGGGCATTTCGCCTCAAAACAATAAACAGTTGTTTGTCTGATGGATCCACTTTCTCAGCCAACATTTTCACAATGCCAACTATTGAGGGCGGTGATTCACTAGATTCTTTAGCCATGTCATCAGATGGAACCGCAGATTGTTCATTGTTGTACCGATCCTGTAGTTGGTTAGCGAGCTGATGATCTAGTTCAATTTGATCTGATTTATCTGAATTATTTTTGTCGATTAGGCTTTACATCCTGTGTGGGTGCAGTTGTGAGGTCAATGCTGATTGAGCTATTGTGTCGAGGACGTTTGGCAGGTTTGTCATTCTCTTGACCATCATCTGAAACATTGCTAAGGGTTCTGACTGAAGGGACAAAGATAATGTCACAATCATCATCAACATTTTCATCGTCAAGTAGGCCTTCCGCTTTTAGAAAATAGTGGTTTGGGCAGAGAAATAAGGTAATTCACAAGTCTTTTCCTAATTCCTCGTGGTATCTGCTTAATGTGAATGGCTCCTTGTCTGTACCGGGTATGAAGACTGCCTGCTGTCCATCTTCATACAATAGGTGGTATTGTTGGCTCTTGTCATACAGATCACTGTGAAAATTCTTCCACTTATGCTCAGCTTCTCTACACAGTATAGTGTAAGTAGAACTTATTGCGACACATATTGGTATCTTCTTTCCTCGTCGTTCTTTGAGTTTCTGCTCCTTTTCGCACCATTCCATGAGGCCCACATGAATCGCAACATTTTCTATCTTCTTTTTCTTATTATCACCTGACTTTGGCGTTTTGTCTTTCCATTCCTTACCTTTGCTCTTTCTATAAGGCCCCGTTTTACATGAGACCGGGACAAAATCAAACCGGAATGAAAATTGAAATTGTCAACATGTTTACATGAGACCGGTATGAAAATTACAAAATTTTCAATTTATTCCCCTTGCCAGGCAATTTTCTCTTTTAGATGGCTTTTGTTATCATGTGTTGTTCCAATGTCAAGGTTACAGCCGAGACCGGTCTGAAATGTATTTGTGTTTACATTAATTCCGGTCTGAATTCATGATGGTCTGAAGTCAGTCAGCTCGGTCCAGCAGGCCACTTGAGACCGGTCTGGGTTATTTTCGTCCCGGTCTCATGTAAACATCTATTATAGATACTACTTTGACCGAAGCGAAATGGTCCCGTCTCATGTAAACGGAGCCTAATTGACAAAAGAGCTCATTTGGCACACTTGTAGATGGACATTTCTCACATGTTACCTTTTTCACTTGTTTGTTGGTTGAACAGCCTTAAAATATAGAACAGTCATCACACTTATAATGTTGTCTATAACATTGTTATCTATGCTTTCTTTAATAATCTCTAACAGAACATAATCTTACAGTTGCATCTATATCGCCATCTTGCTTACTTCCTTGTGGTCCATAATTAATGTTAATTATGTTAATTATGCTAGACACTACATCCCTCCTTTTCTCAGAGTTTTTCACAATTGCAGTTCGTTGTTAATCATCTACCACTATATCTATGTGTTGGTATTTAACAAAACAGAATATGAATGCTAAGACAAATTGTTGATTGTCCAACAAGTTATATGACTGTCACTGTCAGCCCTTTCTATTTACAATAAGGCTTAATGATAATAGTTCGGCCTTCTTCGTTCTCTCCTTGGATATTGTCATTCTAGATTTTGTTGTTCATCTCGGTTGTGATTGTTGTTATTTTCATTGTCTCCAATATCACGTTGTTCTTCATGTTCATCACTATCTTCCATTTCCTCCTCATCTTCAGAAGACAGCCCAGTTGTTTTAATAGGTTTGAAAAACGATTGGTTTCTAGTAATAGCGAATCCTGGTCTTTCTGCAGTAATCATTGTTCCTTTTACTGTGATTATTCGTAGCGGTTTGGGATCAAAATTCGGGGTAAATTTGTTGTGCTTTTGTTGTCTTACGAGTACATAATCACCAATATTCATGGTTGTCGTCTTACTTTGTCTCCGTCGATCTGCGTATTCTTTCATGCGTTGTCGTTGTTCTTCATCGCGTTGTTCGACGGAATGATCAAGGGCATTCTTGTCGGTTTTAGTGTCAGTCTGAGGTAATCTTGTGCGGGTGTTCCCACCAAACATGAGTGTGGCCGGTGCAACTTGAGTTGTGGTATGGGGAGTAGCTCTGTAATTTAATAAGAATTCCTGCATGGTGTGGCGCCAGTTTTGCTTTTGCAGATGAGCAGTACGAATGGCTTTCATCAGTGGTTTCATGAAAGTTTCGCTTTCATTTGCTTCTGGCCATAATGGAGTGATTGTTTTGTGTTGAATGCCATTGTCATCCATGAATTTCTTTATTTCTTTGCTCTGAAACGGTGGACCATTGTCCGAGATAACTTTTTTTGGTAATCCAAATGTGGCAAAGATCTCGTCTAAACATTGAATTAGGTGAGGAGCATCCGTTTTCTTTATAATTTTTGTTACCGGATATCGGGAGCGTCCATCTATTAGGACAAAGAGTGTTTCTCCACTTGGTAACAGACCCAAAAAGTCAATGTATACAGTGTCAAAGTTCTCCTTGGGTATTTCGCGCATTAACAGATGTTGTGGTGGTTTTGGACGTCCAGTGGCTTGGCATGGTATACAGCTGTCGATAGCAGATTTTACAAGTGAATCAATTAAGGGGAACCAAACTTTTTCTCGCATTAGGCTCTTCGTTTTAACTATGCCTTGGTGTGGCGAACATGGGCTAAACGTATGGCATCTGCTCGCAAGCTTTTTGGAATAACAATGCGTGTGTCTCGTAAAATGATGTTCTTATCATTAGATACAGTTAATTCATCTTTGATATTACAGAGTAACTTTAGTTCACGAATATCAATGTCTGTGTCTTTGGAAAATGTTGTGGTGTCTAACGTATGCCATAAGTTTTTCTGTATTATGTGTGCAGCATGTTGCAAAGTTGGGTCATTTTGTGTTGCTTCTCTGATTTGTTGAAGGGTCATTGCTTTTGGGGTTGTTGATTCCGCAATGAACTGAATATAATATTCAGAGTTTTCACTGTCTTGTGATGTCATTGAGGTCGTATTCACTGGGTGTGTCTTGACATGTAATCGGATGGGTTATCGTGGCCAGGGCGATAGTGAATTTGGAAATTGTATAACTGTAGGCGTAAACGCCAGCGTTCTAGTCGTGCAGGGCAATGTGAATTTGGATTCTGAAAAATCGATACTAATGGTTTATGGTCTGTATAGATTGTGAAATGAATTCCATAGAGAAATAAACGAAAATGTTCGCAGCCAAAAACAATTGCAAATGCCTCGCGTTCTGTCTGACTATATCTTTGTTCTACTTCTGTAAGAGCACGACTGCCATATGCAACGACAGTTTCGTCATTTTGGCTGGGGGTATTTTGTATTAATATTGCCGCTAGACCAGTGGGAGAGGCATCTACAATGAGCTTGGTGTCTTTTGAAGGGTCAAAATATGATAAAGTGGTTTTTTCGTTCAATCTTTCTTGTAATGTATCAAACGCACGTTGTTGTGATTCTTTCCATTCGTATTTTATGTCCTTCTTTGTAAGTTTACGTAATGGGGCAGTCAGTGTTGCAAGATCTTGAATAAATCTGCCGCAATATGTTATCATTCCTAAATAGCTACGAAGTTCAGAAACATTCGCTGGAGGTTTTAGAGACTTGATCGCTTCGATCTTTTTAGGACATGGGGATATACCCTGCTTCGAGAAAACATGACCATAAAACGTGATGCTTGGTTTATCAAATTCACATTTGTCACCGTTGAATCTTAAATTATTTTCATTAGCACGCTGTAGAACAGATTCTAATGTCATGTCATGTTCATGTTGTGTTTTGGCAAAAACTAGTATGTCGTCGCTTATGTTTATACAACCGTCAATATCTTGGAATGTGGTCTGAATGACATTTTGAAATATCTCAGCAGCACTATTTCTGCCAAAGTTCAAACGTTTATATCTTTTGAGACCTTCATGAGTTGCAAATGTAGTTGTCACGCGAAGCTTCATCCAACTCTAGTTGATGGTACCCAGAGCTTAGATCAAGTTTTGAGAAATATGCAGCACCATTTAGTTTTTCAATTAAATCTTCAGTTGTGGGAGAAGGGTGACATTCCCGTGAAATGGCTTTATTGGGTTATCGCATGTCAACACAAAGACGAATTTGGTCGGGATTGTTGGGTTTTGGGAAACAAACAATGGGAGATACCCACGACGTGGGGCCTGTTACACTTTCAATAATATCTAATGATTCAAGACGTCGCAGTTCTTCTGATAGTTTGGTTCTCATTGTAAATGGGATTCTTCGGGCTTTTTGAATTGTGGGTTGGACAGTTTTATCAATGTGTAAATGGACTTTGTAATCTGGGACTTTTCCGATTCCTTGGAATAAATTATCATATTTCGAAAATAAGGTTCTCAATCTTTTAGGTCTAGACTTGCTATTTGTTGGAGCATTTTTCTTAGGTTGATGGGTTTCAGGTCGAGATGTAACAAATGCAATTTTGTTTAGCTTTAATAACCCAAGATCAATTGCAGTGTTTCCACTTATTAGACATCCAGCATCAGTGTTTATCACATAAAATTGGGCTGTGGTAATTTTTGTTCCTGATTCAACTGAAGCTTCGAAATACCCTTTGATGTCGAGGGGTGTGTTAGTGGCAAAAGCAAAAAGTTTTATTTTGCTTTTCATCAAGTGGATGTTGTTCTGGCGAGTTAATTTCTCAAAACTAGTATTATCGATAATATTTACACTGGCACCAGAATCAATGTTTACACGAATAGTTATGTCATTGATTTTAATATGGGTGTAGAAATTTCGTTTTCGACAGTCACTGTTAACTTCATTAACAGTTCCTCCTGTGAGTGAAGTGGTGATAGATGTTAAAACGACTTTGTTAG